AAAAACAAGTTGAAAAGCACAAAAGACCCACTCACCCCCATCCCGCAATAAAAAGAAGAACGAGAAGAATACAAGCCCAGTTCGTGTACCCACCTGTCCACACTGATAGCGGTGAGGTTGAGGATGGAGGCTGTACAGGCCAACACGTCAGACGCCACCCAGGCGTCACACAATGGGGCACTGAGCAGCCAACGTTGGGACATCACCTGGGGAGTCGGAGAGAGACGAGTAGACGGTGAGTGAGTGAGTGAAGGAGGGAGGGAATGAGGGAGTGAGGGATGGAGGGAGTGAGTGAGTTCATCCAGGCATCACACAGTGGGGCACTGAGGAGCCAACGCTGGGACATCACCTGGGGAGTCGGATAGAGACGAGTAGACGGTGAGTGAGTGAAGGAGGGAGGGAGTGAGGGAGTGAGTGAGTGACGGAGGGAGGGACGGAGTGGGGGATAGAGGCGGAATGAAGGGAGTGAGTGATGGAGGGAGTGAGTGAGTTCATCCTGACGTCACACAATGGGGCACTGAGCAGCCAACTTTGGGACATCACCTGGGGAGTCGGATAGAGATGGGTAGACGGTGAGTGAATGAGTGAAGGAGGGAGGGAATGAGGGAGTGAGGGAGTGAGTGAGTTCACCCAGGCGTCACACAGCGGGGCACTGAGGAGCCAATGTTGGGGCATCACCTGGGGAGTCGGATAGAGACGAATAGAGGATGAGTGAGTGAAGGGGGGAGGAAGTGAGGGAGTGATTGAGTGACGGAGGGAGGGACGGAGTGGGGGATAGAGGTGGAATGAAGGGAGTGAGTGATGGAGGGAGTGAGTGAGTTCATCCTGGCGTCACACAGTGGGGCACTGAGGAGCCAATGCTGGGACATCACATGGGGAGTCGGATAGAGATGGGTAGACGGTGAGTGAGGGAGGAGGGAGTGAGGTAGTGAGGGAGTGAGAGAGTGAGTGAGGGAGTGAGGGAGTGAGGGAGGCGTGAGGGATGGAGGGAGGTAGTGAGTGAGGGGGGTGGAGGGAGTGAGTGATGGAGGGATGAGTGAGTGAGTGAGGGAGGGAAGGAGGGATGGAAGTGGGAGGGAAGGAGGGAGGGAGGGAGGAGGGAGTGAGAGAAAGAGTGAGTGATGGGGGGAGTGAGTGAGGGAGGGTGTAAGGGATAGAGGGAGTGAAGGGAAATTAAATCACGGAGACACATACGCAGGAAGGGAAATAAGCAGGTAAATCCAGCCTTCATGGGTAATGAAGTATTAAACATATTGGGCAGCGAGAGAGAGAAAGAGAGAGAGATAGAGAGAGAGACAGACAGACAGACAGACAGACAGAAACATAGACGGGGGAGGAGGGGAGTGAAAAGTCAGTGAACGTGCGTGTATGAATTTATTTGTGTGTGTGTGCGTGTGTGTGTGTGTGTGTGTGTGTGTGTGTGTGTGTGTGTGT